TCCGATTGTCAAATAACCCGATGTGTTGTACTTTTAATCGTAAAGTCCTGTCCAGTGGTGCTAATCATTGTTTGGGTAAATTTGTTGTGGAAAACTAATAAACTGTTTTTATCGACTTTTTCACATTATTCGTGGTATTCATGAGAGGGACAGAAAAAAGTTATTCAAACACTTATTTTTGACGGGAAGTACTGTTCACTCGACAATAAACCCCTATAACTGGTGGGAAAAGGCAATGAACTAAAACAAACCTCTGATGATTGCCACTAAACGCAGCAATTTCTAGAAAGTATTGTTTGCCGTTTTTTTGTATTGATAGGGGTTTCCCCACCGCAGCAACAATTGATAGATCTTTTGAGTACATTTGAAACGTCGCTTTACATAACAATCTAATTGGCATTTCATTGCAATTCCTTAATGTTATATCCAAAATGTTTGGTACATTTAGTTAGCGTAATATTTCAATTCAATTGCAATCAACAAATCATTTATTCCTAAGAATTAGTTTATTAATTACAGATTACACTACAAAAACATATTGTGTTTTGTTATAACACCGTATTTGGCTTATCATCGATACAATACAATATACCGTATATATAAAGTAGTTATCATTTGCACAAAACGCTTAAAGCGCTTACACTTTGGATAAATATTAATAATTATAAATTACAATAAAATCTTTATTATAAAATTATTTGTCAGTCAAAAAACTCAATTTTGGATTTATTTATTGTAAATTTGATAAAATATTTATTTCATTTAAAACCACACAAATATGTGGTCATAACTCTTATCGACAAACAGAATAGAGATAGAGGTATAGATAGGGATAGAGAGATATAGATAATAATAAAATTGTCATCACTTTTAATATTATTAAATTATAAATGATATATTCTTTTAAGAAAATCGATTTAAATATATATTTTCTGATTTAACGGTAACTTTTTTTGAGGCGCCGTTCGCTCTCTGTGTCTGTCACTGTCTCTCTATGCATAATAGTTGGGCGAAACCAACAGATCGGTAATGACGGCCAACTGGTCGTCAGTGAACCGGAGCTTATGGTCTCTCCAACAGTCGTTGTGTGTGCGCCGGAAGTTAGACAATGTCTTCTTAATTGCAGTCTATATTAATGAGAAACACATGCAATCAATAAAAAAAACATATCAATTGACACACAGAACAATCATAAACAATGTGATAGTATGTATACTGACTGTTATGGGCTGCGGATCATTCAAATGGTAAGACAAAAACACCAGTATTTCGGGCATAAAGTCTGGCACGTCGTACGGGAAGGCGTTAATGCAGGCGCAGAGACCAAGAATGCCTCCGTGTCTAAGAGTCAGATCTTTGGGATCAGTGATTGTCGTGCCGTTCGGTTGCAATATTTTCTTCAGTTTGTGATTGGATTTCGTCTCAAAGTGTTTAATGAGTTTGCGGTCAATCTTCACAAACTCGCAGTGCATGAGTCCACTCAGCGTCTCGGCTGTGGACTCACGCACTTCGTTCCGCTCATCACTCAACAGATCCAGAATGAGTTGAGTTATGTCTTTAACCCACGACTCGTTGGCCATCAGAACAAATAGATTCGATGACACCATATACTGAAGGAACGTTGCGATGGCAGACCTCGCGTGCCAGTTGGCCGTCACCGTAACCTATCATTACAGTAATACCGGCGGTCAGCACAACGTATTGTGTTTAAAATCTAATATTAATACCTGTTTAGCGGTTTCGATAGCAGTGTCTATACTCTCCGGAGTGAGCATTGCGTGACTTAACATAATTATCGCGAAAAATGATTCGCGGATCAACTCTTCATCACTGGTCTCGCTTTGCATTAAACATAACTATTAAAGGAAACAAAAACATTGAGTAAATAAGCGATACATTAAAAAACAAAGCAAACAGACAATTGGCAAAAATTTGAACAGTTCTGGGGGTGCGCTGTAAGCAACTCGCGGTACGTTTCCGACAATCCATTTGCAGATAGTCTTCAACAGATTGGCCGCGTCTTTACGTTCGGGCGATTGTGGCGTAAATCCATTCAAAGAATTCGCGTCATTCTTGTGACTCTCGTCCTTCTGATTGTCCGACACTTGATTGTACAGAATCTGAAGTCGAGGTATGATCTTATCAATAAATGGCGCCCTCTTTGGTGCCAAATCAAATGTCTTCGGCAGCGATGGTATGCCGACATCAAACATGAATATATTACATAATATACTACAATACAGACAAAAGTATATCATTAATGCTGTGTTAAAAAATTAATCAATTGTTGGACAAACCTTCCGATGCGTTCCCTAACGTTTTGATACGAATGTGTCAAATGATTGTCCTCTAAATAGGCTAACAATCGCTGTAATACAAGTTGTGAACGCCATTCCTGTTGTTGGACAGCGCCGTGAAGTAGATATAGACGACTCGCCTGAAGGAACGACGACAGCGTCTCTGCGCCCGCTTTTAACGGGTCGTCCAAAAAGATGTTCAAAATCCATGTCAAGCGTCGGGCGTCTCGATTCTCAAATATGGTGGCACTACAAGTGCCCCAATCGGCCAGAGTTTCGGTCGTTATATTGTTGAACACTTGTCGAAAGATTGGCTCTAAATGTGACCGCAATTTAGACCAATCGTTGTACGACCAGTGCTTCGAACCGCGCATAAGACCGGCGATTATCTCTGACGCGCACCGATGGGCGCTCTCTTGTGCGCCGTTCACGGCTTCTGTGATCTTCGGCATCAATAGATCCAAATTAAATGCACCGAAATTACGGAACAGTCCTTTCCATAGTTGGAACCGTTTGGATGAGAACTTATCCTTTCCTTTATTCTCTTCGAGAGACAAATAGCTTAACAATTGATACAAAAAGTCTTTGTCTGCGAACTTTTGGCGAACAATTATTTCACTGTCGGTCAGAGTCTTAGACTCATTAATAGATTGACTTTTATCGTAAACCAGTACTGGCTTTGGAAAGCAATAGAAGCCAATGTGCGGTTTGTCAACGAAATTCATTGATTGGAACTCCTCTTCGGTGTCCAACTTATTGGAGATATCGGTTTGAAGCCATTGGTTGTCCTCAGGGAATGGCTTCAATTCCTTCTTCTGATGCTTTCGCTTCTGTTGTTTAAGAATAGCACCAAAAGAAGCGATTGATATCTTTCGGATGTAAAGCGTGTCGTGATTCAGATTCTTAGTGAAGAGACTGACGGCACTCGTGGCCACTGGTATGTCGTGTCTGATTAACATACTTAGCATCACATTTGACAACTGATAATATCTCCAGTGACTGAATGCAAAATAATTTAATCAACATTTTTGTTAATTTTAACAATTCATTAAATGTGAACAAATCAATGGACTTACAGATCGGGCACTCCATTCGATCCATTCATTAGAGAAACCAACTTTTCTACCAAATTATTATACAAATCAACATTTGTTTGGTTTCGCTTTTGAGCAATAGTTAAAGCGTTTTGTATCTCCTCATCGGTCGGACATTTAAAGGCCGGTTTCGGCAAACTTGTGTTCACTGTCCACACCTGACGAGCGATGGCCGTACAGGAGTCGGGAATATCCACACGTAAGGCCAAAGTATCGAAAAATTTGCGAACATATCCCGTGATATCTAAGTCTAATAAGCGAATAATACTCGGCTTTTCTGAATGCTTGGCGTCGACCAGCGCTGGCCATAAGGTGTTGAGCGTCGACCAGTCGTGTGATGTCAACAGTGAACTCCCGCGACGGCCGAGTATCACAAACAGTGAGCCTTTAAATTGTTCGTGATTTGCGTCGCCGTCTTTACGCAGATTTGAGAGCAAATCGGGTAAACACAGGCGATAGGAATAGGGGAACGACCGGAAACAGTTGAACAGTGTCTCTTGCGATTGGCACCGGACTTCGCTGTAATGACTGGTCGCCAATTGCATCAAATCTGTCATCAATTCTTTGTGCAATTCCGTGAATTTTGTTAACGATTTGTTCATTAATCGCATCTAAATAACGGATACATAAACACAAATCAGTATTTGTCAACAAATCAAAGCAATTGCCACAGACCTCGTGCTGGAGGACGAGTCGGTCAATCATCAGCGCTCGGATGTGTTGTTTCTTTTTAGTTAACTTATTCTCCAGTGATTTCTTCACCACATGAAAGCCCTTCCAACGCGTGTCGAAGTCGTGTTTAGTGACGCCCCAGAAGAACATCGTATTGTTATAAATCTATTGTGCATTTCATTAAACAAATTAATATCAAAAATATAAATCAATTAAAAACATTCAAACCTTTATGAGACGACATAAAGATTTGGTATCGTCTTCGCACGTCTGCAGTATATGGACTAAAGTGGAGCGCAATGTCTTCAATACAGTCTCTCGGATATTGGATCCGTTGGAAAAATTAACGATATTAGAGCCCACAGTGTGTACAATAGATGTAGTGTTTGACACTAACGACTCGTAGCTAACCATTGAAAACACACCACAAATGAAATAATTATTTCAAAACCATTAATATATGAATACTCACAGAACAATATTATCGCCACTCCAGAGGGGCAGCGCAGAGGCGGCACCCGTCACACAATCGAGAACAACCAACAGACTTCGCTGTAATTCTTCGCGCGACAACCTCTCCTCACCTTTGATCCAATTGTGTAAAGCATTCAATTCGGTGCCTAAGAAGCGTTCGAGCAGTTGCTGAGCAAACGTCAGCTCAGCGTCGCTGGACTCGTGCCACTGTGTGTTCAGATGATGGATATCTACAGTACAGCCCCAGTCCTGAGATTAACAAATACTAGTAAATGACAAACATCTCAATTAACGTTTCGCTCAACACATACTCTAATGGGTAGATCGGTCTCAAAGTTCTGGTACAAGTCCCACGTTTTAGTAAAACTTCTGAAGTCGAGCGCACACAACAGTGTCAACGATTTGAGTACATGTCGAAGAATAGCACTCGCGAGAAGATAACCCTTTCGGCACTTTAAATGCAGTGTGCGATCGATCACACGAATCAATAGATCCGAATACTGGACCAAATGCTTGCCATCGCAACGAACCAATTCCGAGATTATCTGCAAACTAAACAGGAGTTCGTGGTCTAAAAACTCCTCGCTTAGGATGTCGTCGCTCTCCGTTAGAGTGAGAACTAATTTGCAGAAATGGGGCAAAAATTTCTTCAACGATAACTCAGCGTTTGCCTGAAAATATACGCAAAGAATTAGGGATCAAATCGAGTGATAATACAGTATAAACATCCATACCTTAGAACACGAACGGACAAGAATTGCCGAGAATTTTCCGGCGACTTTAGTCTCAAATATATGGCTCGAGACAAACGAATAGAGTTTATCCAAAGCGCTCTGAAATTACATAAGAAATTATAACTTATTGTAAATTATAATATCATTTCATACATTGAATATCTGTGGCGACGACTGAAGAAGAATACTGCCGAAAGTTGAGGCCAAACCCACTTCAATAATACCCTCTTCGGTATTCATGCGTTCGTTTTCCTGATCCATACGAG